ATTCTGACACTTTAGCTTAGTTAGAAAGTAAAGCTGACGGCTGACGGCTGACGGCTTTGTTCTTCGAACACAGAATGAATTAAACACCACTGGTAATATCACTGTGATGATATTGGCATCTGCCTTTTATTTTCTCTACTTCACATTGTATTAGTGTGGGAGTTAAAATCATCAGCACCTTTGAATAGCCGTTGCTCAATCGTTCTTTCATCTACAGGAATTCTTTGATGATCGGTGTCATCGAGGATCAATATCTCCACCGTTTCTGCATCTTTGAAGGATGCTTCAAAATGTGTGATGAATCTTTAACGAGCATGCAATGTGACGCTTCCCCAGAGGTATACAGTGTTAAGATTGATGGCTGTTTTCATATGAAAACCTTCCCTAAGGTCTTCACAACTGCTGGTAATAATGAAACAGAGGCTGTTTCATGAATAGTTTTAAACTGCTGCTAACAACACTGCAGTTTTAACTACTAAGGGCATGTTTATCCATTCAGACTAAATAGGTCACTAACCTGCGGCCAGATGGGCACTGCCCTCTCAGAATTACACTCTCCCGCCTCAAGAACAAAATTTTAATGTGTCAATATCAGACAACTTCACTTCTAAACAAGGACATCCATCTATCTGTCCATCCATCCATCCATCCATCCATCTAGCTATCTATCTATCTGCTCTGTTTATCCATCCATCCATCCATCTATCTGTCTATCTATCTATCTGCTCTGTTTATCCATCCATCCATCCATCCATCCGCTCTGTTTATCCATCCATCCATTTATCGATTCACTTATACATCTATCCATCTATCTGCTCTGTTTATCCATCCATCCACTTATCGATCCACCTATCTATCTATCTACAGTGGGGGAAAAAAGTATTTAGTCAGCCACCAATTGTACAAGTTCTCCCACTTAAAAAGATGAGAGAGGCCTGTAATTTTCATCATAGGTATACCTCAACTATGAGAGACAAAATGAGAAAAAAAAATCCAGAAAATCACATTGTAGGATTTTTAAAGAATTTATTTGCAAATTATGGTGGAAAATAAGTATTTGGTCAATAACAAAATTTCATCTCAATACTTTGTTATATACACTTTGTTGGCAATGACAGAGGTCAAACGTTTTCTGTAAGTCTTCACAAGGTTGTCACACACTGTTGCTGGTATTTTGGCCCATTCCTCAAGAGCAGTAATGTTTTGGGGCTGTCACTGGGCAACACGGATTTTCAACTCCCTCCAAAGATTTTCTATGGGGTTGAGATCTGGAGACTGGCTAGGCCACTCCAGGACCTTAAAATGCTTCTTACGAAGCCACTCCTTCATTGCCCGGGCGGTGTGTTTGGGATCATTGTCATGCTGAAAGACCCAGCCACATTTCATCTTCAATGCCCCTGCTGATGGAAGGAGGTTTTCACTCAAAATCTCACAATACAGAGCCCCATTCATTCTTTCGTTTACACAGATCAGTCGTCCTGGTCCCTTTGCAGAAAAACAGCCCCAAAGCATGATGTTTCCACCCCCATGCTTCACAGTAGGTATGGTGTTCTTTGGATGCAACTCAGCATTCTTTCTCCTCCAAACACGACAAGTTGAGTTTTTACCAAAAAGTTATATTTTGGTTTCATCTGACCATATGACATTCTCCCAATCCTCTTCTGGATCATCCAAATGCTCTCTAGCAAACTTCAGACAGGCCTGGACATGTACTGGCTTAAGCAGGGGGACACATCTGGCACTGCAGGATTTGAGTCCCTGGCAGCGCAGTGTGTTACTGATGGTAGCCTTTGTTACTTTGGTCCCAGCTCTCTGCAGGTCATTCACTAGGTCCCCCCGTGTGGTTCTGGGATTTTTGCTCACAGTTCTTGTGATCATTTTGACCCCACAGGGTGAGATCTTGCGTGGAGCCCCAGATCAAGGGAGATTATCAGTGGTCTTGTATGTCTTCCATTTTCTAATAAGTGCTCCCACAGTTGATTTCTTCACACCAAGCTGCTTACCTATTGCAGATTCAGTCTTCCCAGCCTGGTGCAAGTCTACAATTTTGTTTCTGGTGTCCTTTGACAGCTCTTTGGTCTTGGCCATGGTGGAGTTTGGAGTGTGACTGTTTGAGGTTGTGGACAGATGACTTTTATACTGATAACGAGTTCAAACAGATGCCATTAATACAGGTAACGAGTGGAGGACAGAGGAGCCTCTTAAAGAAGAAGTTACAGGTCTGTGAGAGCCAGAAATCTTGCTTGTTTGTAGGTGACCAAATACTTATTTTACCGAGGAATTTACCAATTAATTCTTTAAAAATCCTACAATGTGATTTTCTGGATTTTTTTTTCTCATTTTGTCTCTCATAGTTGAGGTATACCTATGATGAAAATTACAGGCCTCTCTCATCTTTTTAAGTGGGAGAACTTGCACAATTGGTGGCTAACTAAATACTTTTTTGCCCCACTGTATAAAATAACATTTGCATATTCTTCGCTCTGTGTTGCACCTTGATTTTTCATAGCCATTTGAAATTAGAGCTATCTATCTATCTATCTATCTATCTATCTATCTATCTATCTATCTGCTCTGTTTATCCATCCATCCATCCATCCACTTATCGATCCACTTATCCATCCATTTATTCATCTATCTATCTGCTCTGTTTATCCATCGATCCACTTATCGATCCACTTATCGATCCACCTATCCATCCATTTATCCATCTATCTATCTGCTCTGTTTATCCATCCACCCACTTATCGATCCACTTATCTATCTATCTATCTATCCATCTATCTATCTGCTCTGTTTATCCATCCATCCATCCATCCACTTATCGATCCACTTATCCATCCATTTATTCATCCTCTTTTTCTCCATCCATCCACCTATCGATCCACTTATCGATCCACTTATCTATCTATCTATCTATCTATCTATCTATCTATCTATCTATCTATCTATCTATCTATCTATCTATCTATCTATCTATCTATCTATCTATCTATCTATCTATCCATCTATCTATCTGCTCTGTTTATCCATCCATCCATCCACTTATCCATCCACTTATCCATCCACTTATCCATCCATGTATCCATCTATCTATCTATCTATCTATCTATCTATCTATCTATCTATCTATCTATCTATCTATCTATCTATCTATCTATCTATCTATCTATCTGCTCTGTTTATCCATCCATTCACTTATCGATCCACTTATCGATCCACCTATCCATCAATTTATCCATCTATCTGCTCTGTTTATCCATCCATCCACTTATCGATCCACTTATCTATCTATCTATCTATCTATCTATCTATCTATCTATCTATCTATCTATCTATCTATCTATCTATCTGCTCTGTTTATCCATCCATCCATCCACTTATCGATCCACTTATCCATCCATTTATCCATCTATCTATCTATCTATCCATCTATCTATCTGCTCTGTTTATCCATCCATCCACTTATCGATCCACTTATCCATCCATTTATCAATCTATCTATCTCTCTGTCTGTGTCCATCCATCAATCTGGAAAAGTCATGAAAAACAAAATTATGACTTCCTATGGAAAAAAATAAATCATTATTAGTTGACCTCATGTAAAAGCTAAAACTATAAATAGGAAATGACCCCTTTAAACAGATTCATAATAGCGGTTCGGACAGCCCATGCTTCGCACACTTGAAATATTCATGAGACTTAAATAGGTTGAAATTTAAAACTGGTTGGAGGACTCGGTTTGGGGAAGCTCAGCTGTCATAATAATTAATTGCACAGAGGACAGGACTGTCATTTCAATAGCATTGTGTTATGTTTAATTAGCTGGCTGTGTATTACTACTCCTCAGGGACACCTGGAAATGGCACGCTTAAGAAATTCTGAGGGATACAAGTTGTGACTGCTTCACACGAGACCTCATTCTGTTCAGTCACAAACTGACTGCTTCTCACACTAAAATACTCACATGAGGCAAATGTTCAAAATAGCTCACCCTGAAATCATTTACACACTCTCATGTCATTCAAAAACCTGTATGAGTAATTCTTTTGTGGAACACAACAGGTTATCTTTCCTACACAATGTAAGTGAATGGAGTTGTCAAGATCCAAAAATGACGAAAAAGACAGAAATACACAATGAAAATAGCATAAAAATAGGCCTAAATGACTTGTGCACCACATAACCCTGTTTTCTAAAGTCATAAGATAACTATATAGTACGATTGTGTTGTACGATTCCTGAACAAATAGCTGGTTCTTTTTAGTCAATTAAGCCTGTAAATAGACTATAACTTTCTTATTATTCAAATGATCTAATTTTGGCAGTGAAAATGAATTTAGTTTTTCTTTAAAAAGTACCAAAATAATCGTTAATGGAACTCTTAAGAGACTGAGAGTAATCAATAAGAGGAATCAAAACCACTAGGAATGAGAATTATAAAGCATTTAAGGGTTTTGATTCTGAAAAACAGACCGATATTTACTCATTTGTGCTTCAGTATGAACAAACTCACTGCATCAAGATCAGCTGACAGACACAAGACAACTAAAGACATTTGTCATTGAATAATGCCTTAAATTGGTTTAAATGTCACACAAAGTTATCATATGATTTCAGAATACCTGGAATACAGAACATGGACTACTTTTATGGTACGTTTTTGGATCTTAAAAAGAGTTGCATGAATATCTACCCTTTTATTTTAGTGAAGAAAGCA